CGGGACTTTTGTCGTGGGGAGGGCATCACCCAGTCGTTCACGCTTTCGGATTCCCCTCAGCAAAATGGGATTCCTGAGCGCTGCATTGGCTTAGTCATGGAGGTCGCTCGTACCTCCATGATTCATGCGGCGGCCCCCCATTTTCTGTGGCCGTTTGCGGTCCGGTACGCTACGCATCAGCTCAACCTTTGGCCCCGTGTCTCCTTGCCGGAGACCTCACCCACACTGCGTTGGACAGGGAAGGTTGGCGATGCGTCGGTGTTCCGGGTCTGGGGTTCTCGTGCCTTTGTTCGCGATACGTCCGCGGACAAGCTCTCCGCCCGCGCTATTCCCTGCGTCTTCCTTGGCTTTGTCCCTGACGCGCCTGGCTGGCAGTTCCTCGCGCTGTGTCCTCCCTTCTCAGGACGTGTTCCTCTGCCTGCTCCTCCTGAGTCCTCTCTTTCTGAGGTCCCTGACCTTGAGTCTGACTGAGCGGGTGCTGCCAGTCCCACTGTCGCTCGTCTCCTTGCCACTGCTGTCACTGACCCGTCCTTTGAGTCTGCTGCTGCTTCTGCTCTCGTTGCTGAGCTACTTGACTTTGCGGCTGCCTGCTGTCTCGACTACGCCTCTGCTCTAGTTGCTGAGTCTGTCCCTGCCAGTCCTCCGTCCTTCGGGGGTGAGTGTGCTCCTGGCACGGACGTCCTTGAGGATAGGCAGGAGGACTTTGAGTGTCTTGCAGCTGCTGTACCTCGTTTCGCTTCCTTGCTGCTTGCCCGTGAGGGAGACCCGGATGCTCCTGACATCCCGACCCCGCGCTCTTACGCAGAGGCGATTACGGGTCCTTTCTCCTCTCAGTGGCAGGCAGCTATGGATGCCGAGATGGCATCCTGGAAGTCCACAGACACTTACGTCGACGAGGTTCCCCCACCTGGGGTGAACATAGTCGATGGCATGTGGATCTTCAGGGTGAAGCGGCCGCCGGGTTCTCCGCCTACCTTCAAGGCGCGTTACGTTGCTCGAGGTTTCAGTCAGGGACAGGGAGTTGACTACTTCCAGACCTTCTCCCCCACCCCGAAGATGACTACTCTTTGGGTGTTGCTGCACGTAGCTGTTCAGCGTGACTACGGGTTACACTCATTGGACTTCAGTACTGCCTTCCTGCAGGGCAGCCTGCACGAGGAGATCTGGCTGCGCCGACCACTTGGTTTCACTGGGTCGTTTCCTACAGGTACCCAGTGGAGCCTCCGCCGGCTAGTCTACGGTCTCCGCCAGGCGCCTCGCGAGTGGCACGACACACTCAGGACTACACTTGCGGCTCTTGGGTTTGTTCCTTCTACAGCAGACCCGTCGCTGTGTCTACGCACCAACACCTCGCTGCCGCCCTTCTACATCCTAGTGTACGTCGACGACCTCGTCTTTGCCACGGCTGACACTGAGGCACTGACCCTAGTGAAGTCTGAGCTGCAGAAGAGACATACATGCACTGACCTGGGTGAACTGCGCAGCTACCTTGGCCTGCAGATCACCCAGGACAGAGCATGGCGCACCATCACACTGACTTAGTCACACATGGTGCACCAGGTCCTTCAGCGCTTCGGCTTCCAGTACTCCTCGCCACAGCTCACTCCTTTGTCTACCAGCCACTCGCTCTCAGCTCCACCTTCGGACGAGTCCGTAGAGTCGAGTGGTCCGTACCCAGAGCTTGTGGGTTGCCTCATGTACCTGATGACTTGCACTCGACCTGACCTCACGTACCCTCTCAGCCTTCTGGCTCGCTACGTGGCTCCCGGTAGGCACCGAAAGGTGCACTGGGATGCTGCGAAGAGGGTACTGCGTTACTTGTGCAGTACGTCGGGCATGGGGCTTGTGCTTGGAGGACGGGGTCCTGTTGTCCTCACTAGTCACGCAGACGCCTCCTGGGTTGACGACTCAGCTACGCAGCGGTCGTCGCAGGGTTACACCTTCAGCCTTGGGTCCGGCTCGGTTTCTTGGCGGTCTACCCGCTCGTCTTCAGTTCTCAGCTCCAGCTGTGAGGCTGAGATTTACACCGGAGCCATGGCTGCTCAGGAGCTACGCTGGCTCACCTACTTGCTGACCGACTTGGGAGAGCAGCCTCGTTTGCCTCTAGTCCTGTACGTAGACAACAAGGCCATGATAGCCTTGTGTCAGGAGCACAGAATGGAGCACAGAATGGAGCACAGAATGGAGCACAGAACGAAGCACATTGCTCTTCGCTACTTCCTTGCTCGAGAGTTTCAGCAGCGTGGTCAGCTTCGTCTAGCGTACGTGGCCACTCGGGCCAACACTGCTGATGTCTTCACCAAGGCACTTCCGCCTGGTGACCATCAGCGCTTTGTTACTGTGTTAGGCCTTGTGCCTACTTTGCCTCACTTACTTACTGCCTGACTCTGCCTGTACTGTGATCTATCTATATACCTGCATGCTTGCACTTGTTAGGGTATGATCACTGTATTGTTTGTTCTCTGTATATAATTCTGCATGTGAACTGGCCTTGTGGCCCTTTGCTTGTGCTCGGACTGTGTGGTGACTTTGTGATCCACCCTGAGCTTGCTTTGCCTTTCTTGACTGGTCTTGTGACCATTACTCGTTCTGGGGGTGTGTCAAACATATATGCTTAGTTATATCTAGGCTTAGTTCATGTGTTTACATTTGTCTAGGCTATAGTGGGTTTAGCCTTAGGGGGTACAGAATTCTCTCGACATTCTACTTGTACCCTTCCTTGCTTCCTAGTCAATCATGGAAATTACCATCGAGCAAAACAATGTGCCCCGAGTGAGGATCGAACTCACGACCTTAGTATGGCTCCGCCCAGCAGAGTGGGAGTCGGAATGCTATGAGACCTACGCGCTACCGACTGCGCCATCGAGGCTTGTAAATCAGTTGAATATTTTAGGTAGAAACAAGGTGACTTGAAGGACGACCTTTTTAGTATCTTTAAAGCAATCTTTGACCAGGGGTGATGCGTTGAACAGTGTGCACCAGCATGAGTTGTGAGACAAGGGGTTGATGCGTGGGACCTTGTTTTGGGAAGGCTCAAAGCGGGTCCTTCTCAGGAGTGATGCGTTGAACAGAGCAGGCGAACGGGAACCACTGCTGGTCAATCCACCGCCCAGCATCCCCCGATTCCCCCAACACCTCTTGGGTCCGTCGGCAACGCCGCTGGTAACGCCGCCTGCAGGCGAGCTTATTCCTCCCTGTAAGTCTCAGGGTCCGTTGACTGCGTGCACAAACAGCGGGGAAAATAAGAGAGTTAACAAGCCGATTCAACCTGCACGGTGCAGGCTGGTAGGGCTGCCTGCCTGCAGGCGAGCTTATTCCTCCCTGTACGTCTCAGGGTCCGTTGACTGCGTGCACAAACAGCGGGGAAAATAAGAGAGTTAACAAGCCGATTCAACCTGCACGGTGCAGGCTGGTAGGGCTGCCTGCCTGCAAGCGAGCGTATTCCTCCCTGTACGCCTCAGGGTCCGTTGACTGCGTGCAAAAACAGCGGGGAAAACCAGCTAGCGTGTCCATGATGCTAGAATCATCCATGTTGAACTCGCTTTTGAGAATTCTCAAAAGCGATTTCAACTCAGGGTCCACTGAATGCATGCACTGCGTGCACTGCATGCACAAACAGCAGGGAAAACCAACTAGCGTGTCCATGATGCTAGAATCATCTACACATGCTGGTGTGTAGCCTGAGACGATTTTTGAGGCGCCTAAAAAATCTGCGTGCACAAACAGCGGGGAAAACCAGTGTCCGTCCATGATGCTAGAATCATCTACACAAGCTGGTGTGTAGCCTGAGCCACACAGATCCTAATGCATCACAACAAATCACCAGGGAACCCTTGCATGCATCACCACACACCCCACACCTTTGCAGACCGCCAGTATTTATCACCTGCTGCCATCGCTGCTGCCATCGCTGCTGCCATCGCTGCTGCCATCGCTGCTGCCATCGCTGCTGCCATCGCTGCTGCCATCGCTGCCACTAGCAACCACCTCCGGTTCTCGTTTTCAAAGTTGTCACCGCTGCTGCCACTGCTGCTGGACAAGGAGGGAGAGGGGGGGGTGGTTGCTCTGCAGTTGAAACCAAGACAGGGACAGGATAGGAGAGAGGGTAGTAAAGGACGCTACTTCCTTTGCTATACTGGAGCTGCTATCGAGTATCTCCAAAAGAAGCTCTGTATGCAAGCCTCGCCTCTCCACTCATCCCTTCCCTCTCTCTCCCTCCCCTCTCATCCCTTCCCCTCTGCTCCCTTCCCCTCTCCTCCCATTCCCTCTCCCTCCCCTCTCCTCCCTCTCCTCCCTCTCCTCCCCTCCCCTCTCCTCCCTCTCCTCCCCTCCCCTCTCCTCCCCTCCCCCCCCCCTCTCCTCCCCTCTCCTCCCCTCCCCTCCCCTCCCCTCCCCTCTCCTCCCCTCCCCTCCCCTCCCCTCCTCTCCCCTCCCCTCCCCTCCCATCCCCTCCCCTACCCTCCCCTCCCCTCCCCTCCCCTCACCTCCCCTCCCCTCCCCCTCCCCTCCCCTCCCCTCCCCTCCCCTCCCCTCCCGTCTCCACGCGCGGTCCCCCCCACAGCAGGTCATTGATGGACAGTGAGCCACAGAAGGGGCTGCGGCAAATTGACTTTTGGGTTGACTCAAAAGTCAACCTTCCCACAGCAGGTCATTGATGGACAGTGAGTCATTGCCGTGGAAGGCACACAAGGTGCTGCGGCAGCGAGGGCATGGGCGGGAGTCCACTCATCTGCAGGGAAGCATGGATGGCGCGCAGGAGCAGGTAGGGAGGGAGGGAGGGAGGGAGGGAGGGAGGGAGGGAGGGAGAGCAGAAACAAGGAAGGACAGACAAGGGCAGACGGAAAAGGGGTGGTCATAGGGATGCGGACTGGAAGTCACAGGTGGGGGTGCGGCAGCAGGGGCACGGGGGCACGGGGGCACGGGGGCGAGCCCACCCTTCATCTGTGGGGGGGGAGTGTGGGGGAGGAAGGACATGGACAGGGAAGGACAGACGAGGGGAGATGGAAATGAATGGTCAGAACTGGAAGTCACAGGTGCGTGCGGTGCAGCAGCGAGGGCACAGAGGGGAGTCTACCCACCTGAGGTGGAAAAGAGGTGGTCATAGGCCGTAGCTTCATCGCCCTGAGGCCACTCCTCCCACTCCACGGGGTGGAAAAGGGGTGGAAAAGGGGTGTAAAAGGGGTGGAAAAGGGGTGGAAAAGAGGTGGAAACGAGGTGGAAAAGAGGTGGAAAAGAGGTGGAAAAGAGGTGGAAAAGAGGTGGAAAAGAGGTGGAAAAGAGGTGGAAAAGAGGTGGAAAAGAGGTGGAAAAGAGGTGGTCGTAGGCCGTAGGGAGGGAGGGAGGATGCATATCAGAAGACAAGGTGGGGGTGAGTATATGTAGGAGTATATGTATGGAATGGAGGGAAGTCAACACACTGCCATAAGGGTAACCAGCATTACAATCACCTGAACCAGGACTGCAATCACAACTAGGACTTGTAGCAGACAAGCAGCTGCCTCAACACAGCGTGACGAGGATAAGGTAGTTGGGATGGACGCATGAAACCAGTTGGAAGCAGTCAGAGAATAGGCCAAAACCCGCCTCTCCCGAGTAGCCTTCCTTACAGGTACAACTCTTGCAACCTTCGCCAGAGCTTTATCACCATCTCTCTCCTCCTATTCCTCAGGAAACGAGCCGCTTCAGACCTCTCTCGCCTCTGTCCCTCTCTCGCCTCTGTCCCTCTCTCGCCTCTGTCCCTCTCTCGCCTCTGTCCCTCTCTCGCCTCTGTCCCTCTCTAGCCTCTGTCCCTCTCTCGCCTCTGTCCCTCTCTCGCCTCTGTCCCTCTCTAGCCTCTGTCCCTCTCTCGCCTCTGTCCCTCTCTCGCCTCTGTCCCTCTCTCGCCTCTGTCCCTCTCTCCCTCTGTCCCTCTCTCGCCTCTGTCCCTCTCTCGCCTCTGTCCCTCTCTCGCCTCTGTCCCTCTCTCGCCTCTGTCCCTCTCTCGCCTCTGTCCCCTGTCCCTCTCTCGCCTCTGTCCCTCTTATCCGCCATGAGGTCTGTCTAGGGGCGTTTGCATTTTTTAATCCTTTATGCCGAAACTCATCCTCACATTCCCATCCCGCCATTTCCAATTCTCCATCATCCATCCACGATTCCGCTGTCCTACTCCCGCCGTCCTACTCCCGCCGCCCTGCTCCCGCCGCCCTGCTCCCGCCGTCCCTCCTTCCCACACCCCCCCCATCGCCTCACCTACACGCCCATATCGACCTCCACTCCCATTTTGAACCGCTCCTCGCCGAACACCACCGACACCTCTCGCGCCGCCATCGCGGTTAGCACTAACACCCGCCGCGCTGAACGGACCGCGTGGCGCACCCGCAACTTCGGAGAGGCTACAGATCTCGACACGTGGCGCGCGAGCGACCGCGGACCGGGTGCGGCGAGTGACACAACGAAACGGCAGCCACGTTGTTCAAGTAGATTCGCCTTGAATCCAATTTCGTGCAATCTGAAACCCGCACCCTTAAAAGGTTGTTATCTTGGAAACGTGGTGAGAGAGGGTGAGTGAAAGGAGCGCGAGGCGGCAGGTCTCGCGAGAGACCAACCGCCGCGAGTTGATATCGCATGCGGCGCCTTGCCTTGCCGATGAGAGCTGCTAGTCAGGGTGCTCGATAATAAAGTCAACTTGTTTATGCGACCCGTCGTCGCGACAATTCACCAGTTGTTCTCTTCCTACTTTGCTTCAGCTGTAAGCGCCCACACTGAACTGGTCGGTGACATTTTATGGCGCACTTCCTCACTCTACACTCTTCACAAAGAACGACTAACTAACGTGGTCCGCTAGCAGCTAAAGGAAAGGCGTATCTTGCGGGGACTTTCGACCGTCCGATGACACCTACTGAACATTTTCTGTGTGAGCAGTGATGCACCACACGAACTGTTCTACTCGAAACCAAAAAAGGTCCCTAAGATTAAACCCAAACAGCAACGAGAAAGCAATTTCTCTGGTCCAAGTGGGCCTGCTCGAACTGGGCCAAGTAAGGACGCGTCAACTCCGGCAAATTTCGGCGATCGATCCTGCGCAGGATCGAAATTTAACTGGGTTAAAAGAGGTTCTAGTAGTTTTTAGAAGCAATTGCGGGTTTTTAGTGTGGTGTCTGATCGATAGGTTCGATCGCCGATTTTAGGAGTTGACGCGTCGGAGCCAGATGAGTTTCCGCAGGTCTCTGCGACAAACCAACCAGGTCGAGAAATCTTCGCTCGCGCAAGTTACTGGTGCACAATTCCATTCGTCGAGGGATCGATCCAAATTGTGAGTTCATTGGTATCGGCTGGAGTTCGCCCACCAGCCAGAATCCACCAAGCCCTTGACATTGTCGAGCCACTTCTGTCAGAACCTGGATTTCGCGCCAAAACTAACCAAACCTTTCCCAACGTTTCTCTAAAGCCAAGTCAAAGCAAACCATACCCCACCAAACCAACCGAGCCGAACCAGGCACAGCCCCTCGTTGCCGACCAAACTTCACATTTGACCTTCTTGTTGCTTGGCCTCCTCAGTGCTGCTAACTTCCTCACCACACCATACGACAAAATCCCCTCACTGCATAACACCTAGCTTCAATGCTCAGTCAGCCGTCATTCAGTGGCTTCTCTGCATCGGTGAAGCTGGCAAAAGCGGCATTGTCATGTTAACTCGCAGCTTTGCGCGCTCTAATGTGTTCCCCTTACCACGCTCTTACAATGCTACTGATTCGGGACAAATGCTGAGCCAAGCCTGACGTTAGCAAACGCTTAAAAAAATACAACGATACCCTGTTTCTTAATCAGAGCGGAGAAGCATCACGACTGCGACGCCAGCATTCCGCGATCTCAATGTTTGTCTCGATGTTCCCTTGAGGGAAGCACGGTGGAGTTTACCGCTCTCAGATAACTTTTTGCACGAAAGACGGTTCTCATTGCATTAGTTTCCAAAGCGATACTTATGACAACCGCTTACACAGCTGTAGCCTCGCGATAACGCGTGTACTAACTGGCGGAGAAGTCTCAAGATGTAGCAGTGTTAACATGCATTCGTGACGGAACCAGAAATTTGTAAGGCAATGTGTATCACTGATATCAAGTGGAAATTCCTAATCACTAGGCACTTCCTCGAATATTGCCTGCTCTGCTCTGTTCAGGGTTAGATTCACAATCCCAACTGACCTGATTCACTGCGAATTTTGAGCCGTTACGAAATCTAGAAATTCTAATCGTTAAGCACTTCTTTGAGTTTTGACTGATTTTGTCGCATATGGCGTTAGAGGTCAGATTTCGGATCCCAACTGATTTGATCCGACGCGGACCAGACGACAATAAAATTGGCGACAGTAGCACAGAGGGTTGCACCGTCCGTAGTGACGTCAGCAGTCATAGTGACGTCGTCACTGGTAGTGACGTCATCGAAGGAAGCCACGACAGCTCCTCTGAAAACAAATCATCCGCATCATCCCACACTGTCGTCACCCTTACGGTTTCCCCTAAGGAACTTCTTGGGTCAGTCTTCAACAGACTGTTTCAGACTCATCTGCCACACTGCTGCTTACCATGCGAGACACGTCAGCAGCAGCTGGGAGCACACGCTGGGGTGAAACCGGGATCGTTGCTCGGACGCAGCAGCAAGTCCGCTTCATGGTTTTTGGCCAGGTAAAGTACCTTTCTCCCCAGGCAACAGTACAGCGAGCCAAGCTTAAAACGGGTACAACCAGCTGAAATAGCAGACGGCGTTGCAGCAGGTTTGAATGGTCCAGCTGCGGCGCCTTTGGTGGGCGTGCCTGACGTTGCTGCTCACGCTACTACTGCTCCTGCCCGCCGCATCGACTACAGCAAATGGGACCACTTGCACTCCAGCAGGGACGAGGAGGATGAGGATGAGAAGCTGAAGAGATGAGGAAAAGGAGGAGTTAAGAGCAGTGGTGAGGGGAAGGGCAAGGCCCAGATCTTTGCTGCTGCCAATGCCAGCACCTGCCTTCCTCGGCTTGTTGGAACGCTATGGGACGACCTGACTCTTCAAAACCCTCAACATTTGATACCGGTAACCCACGATCTGCCGATGATGGACAATCGGAAAGGACGGGGGCCAGAGAGGGCAAGAGCTGAAAAGATCCAGAGAAGATTCATTTGCTGCGTCGGGCGGACATGGTTCACTACTTAGACGTGAGGGACGTGTGGGGCGTGGCTGTGTGCGAGTGCTGCTTCGACCGCGCTGTGAGCCAGCGCACAAAGCACGCACTCATCATGACCAATCTCAAAGACTTCCGATATCACCTGCGAGAAACACAGCCTTTCTCCATCCCCCTTGCTCCCAACCGTCCGACCCGGGCAGTGTATGAGTTCTCGTTGAAGGTTCCCGTGCCAGAGGCAGCAGCGCGGCTGAAAGTGCCGCCTAACATGCTCTTTCAACTCAAGTGTGACGTGGCCCCATTGCTCTGTGCGGAAGCCATGCTTCTCGAGTGGATGGCTGAGCCTCGTGTGGGCGTGCTCATGGACCTGGGGAGGATCAGATCCTGCCTGCCTGACATTCTAAGTGACATTCCAAGTGCCGCATGCATACCCCTTGGCTCTGTCGCTATTATTACGAATGCTTTTCCTGCTGCTGCAGCTGCTGTCCCTGCTGCTTCCGTTTCGCCTGCAGCGTGGTCCTGCTGCTGGCGCTGCAGCAGCTGCTGGGCTGCCTACCGCCGTGCTGTCAGCTTCGCTGCCTTCCTCGTGCTTGTAGCGAGGTGCCCGCGGTTTGTGACTCTATGCAGAGCGCATGCATCAACTTCCATGGCCTATCCACCCATCGTGTCTGCGCTAGGGGCAGGCAGGCAGAGGGAGAAGGACGTTTTCGCTTCCATGCTGGTTCAGATTCTCGGGGTGAAGGAAAACAGGGATTTGGAGCAAGGATTTGGTGCTGCTATGCAGAATCTGCTGTCTGGCGGGCTGGAGAAGGCGCATGCAGAGAAGAAGGTGAGAGCAGGCAGGGGAGTTGTGGGAGGAAGCAAGGGTAAACGGCAGATGGAGAATGATGGGAACCTGGAAGGGTCATGGGAAAGCACGGACGGTGGTGGTAAGGATGGTAGGGATGGGAAGGGTGGGCAGTGGAGGGAGCATCTGAAGGGCGTGTGTGGGAGAGGTATGTGGATGGCATGGCTTGGATTCTGGAGCATGGAGGGGGGGAAGGGAGGGAGTTCAGGTGCAGCCACTGCAGTGAGGGGGCCGGCAGCAGCAGCAGCAATCTGGAAGGCAGGGATATTCCGAAGGGCATGTACGTGAGTGGCGTGGGTGCCACTGACTTTGCTGTTTGTGTTGCAGCAGTGCTGTCCACGCCACAGTACCGCACGGAGAACAATCTCTACTGTCAGGATGGGAACACTGCTAGCAAGACATGGGTGGATGATGCAGCTATCGAGACGGCCAGGGAGAGGCTGAGACGGAGGGCACAGGGTGAAGGAGGGGCAGCAGGCAGAGGTGCGGGAGCAACAGCATCAACACTGCAACCAGCAAGAGCATCAACACTGCAACTAGCAACAGCATCAACACTGCAACCAGCAACAGCATCAACACCAGCAGGGGGAGCAGGAGCAGTTTCTCCCAGTGGTGCGGGAGCAACAGCATCAACACTGCAACCAGTATCAGCATCAGCATCAGCACCAGCACCACCAGCAGCGTCAGCACTAGCAGTGGCAGCAGCATTTTCCCCCAGTGAAATGTCGCCTGCTCTGGTGGGACCCGTGCCTGTCAACTCAAACCCTGTCAACACAAATGCTGTGATTGCAGTCTTCACGTATCGTGCTGCCTGCATTCTGAAGTGGGCTCGCACCTATGGCTCTGAAGTCATCCCCGCTAGTCAATGCTGCAAGGACAGCCCCCAAGGGAAGGTCCGGCCCATGCGCCACCCGCTTCGGGACCTTCCGAGCCTGCTGGTCAGGCTCGGCGCCATCCCCAAGCCTGTGGACCAAGGCAGCTTCTCCTGGGAGTGGGACGAGTGGCCTCAGGGCGATGAAACTGTGGTGAAGCTTCCTGATGACCCGAGTGCAAGATTCTTTCGTCTGGGAATTGTGGAGGAAGCAAGTGGGACAGCAGAGGAGTGCGGGGCAGGGGAGAAGGGCGGACAGGGGTCATCTGGGCCGGGGCCAAAGGCAGGAAGCAAGATGGGGGCTGGGAGGGAGCATAGAGGAGGCAAAGGGATGGGCAAGCTGGAGGGAAGCATCAGAGGGCACGGGAAAGAAGAGAGAATCAGAGGGCTGACGAGCGAAGACCAGAGAGGCCTGCACCGGCTGCTGACAGATCTGCTGCCGCTAGTGCAAAGGAAATACCCCATCGTTCGCTGCACTGCCGATGCCGAATTCCTAGTGGAGTTTGCCGGGTGCATGATCAAGCCACCTGCATGCGCACAGTGCAAACAGTGCTTTGCTCTCTTTAACCATCGCATCCCTTTCCTCGGGGTCGTCGCCAACTACGCCTACCGACCTGCCTCCATCCTTTTCAACCGCTTTGTATCCATCTTCCCCCCACATTCTCAGCAATTCAACCATCTGACTGGTCTTATCGGCCTGCCGCCGTTCCCTGCCAGCGTACCTGGCTTTCTAAGGTCGCCTGTGGTGCAGGCGCAGGCAGAACAGGTCCCCGTTGTCTTCCTGCTGCAAGTGGCTTACAACTGGCCGCTCTCCATCCTGGGAATCGGGGACTTGCAGCATTTTCACAGGCGGGAATGGGAGGAGGAGCAGGAAGGACTGGGCGCGAGGCGTGGAGGGGAGGAGGTGGAGGAGGAAGAGGAGGAGGATGGGAGGGTGTGGGAGGAGGTGCGGACGTGGTGCCTTGCGGTGCTGTCTGCATGGGCGGGCAGCTGGAAGCTGGCGGTGCGGGGATTGGGAGGCACGTGCAAGGGAAAGAAACAGGCTGGGCAGGAAGGATTGGAGGGAGGCGTGTATTTGACTGAGTGGGGGCGTGAGCTGTGGATCAAGGCCATGACACCCCGGTTCTGTGAAGACGTGCAGAGTTTCGCTGGCCCTTCTAGTGCCGGCGGGAGGAGCAGCGGTAGCAGTGGCAGTGGTGGGAGTGGCAGGAGCGGCAGCAATCGTTGTGGAAGTGATGGGCGAAGCAGAAACAGCAGCAACAAAGGGAGCAGGGGGGATGATGGGAAGGGCAAGAAAGATGAGGAGCCGGCTTACCTGAAGGCATGGCTGGGGGAAGTCAATTTGGTGGCATGCCTGCGAGAGATGCTGCTGGGGGAGCCCTGCTACCGCCTCCCCTGCTGCCCCTTCCACCTCTGCTGCCCCTGCCACCCCTGCTGGCCATTCCAGCCCTGCTCCCTCGTCCACCCCCCCTGCTCCACCTGCTGTCGCCACATCATGCACTGCACCTGTTTCTGTTACAGGAGGCTCTGGTTCTGCTGCGTGTGGGAGGCGTGTGTGCGGTGCTGCAAGGTGTGGGACGGTGGAGGGCGGTGGTGTGAAGCTGAAGAACTGCTCTGGGTGTGGCAAGGTGGCGTATTGCAGCAGAGAGTGCCAAAAGGCACACTGGCCCTCCCACAAGCTCACATGCCCCGGCAGAACCAGCGGGAGAGGAGGTGGCAGCAGTGGTAAGGTGAGTGGAACAGTGAGTGAGACAAGGTGGCAGCAGCAGGGTGTGTGGCAAGGGGAATGGCAAGGGGAGTGACAAGGGGAGTGAGTGAGGAGTGAAGGTGTAAGGTAAGTGCGCCATTGACTGAAAGCATCATAATGCCCTTCACAAGCAAGGCTTGTGTCGGCATGCTGCACAGCACGAGGGTGTGCGAGGATTTCCTCTGATTTAATCACATGGTTGCTGCTGTGTATGCCATTGTGCTAACTGCTGTGCTGGCAGCTGTGGCTGCTGCTGTGTGTGCTCTTGTGCTTGCTGCCTCTGCACAGGTCTAAGTACACCTGACATGTTATGCAAAACTTTTTGTTGGAGCCTCATTATTTCAGACCTTCTCCACTTGGGGGATGCATGCATGCACATATGGGGCTAGAAGTCAGTAGTAAGCAAATGCCGGTGATGCCGTCGTCCCTAGCAGGCCCTTCCCCCACCTCCACAGTAAAAATCTGAAGAATGAGGCACCGCCAATGAAAAGCTCACAATAGGAGGGGTTGGGTTTGTGTTAAGCATTACGTCGACTTCAGGCCCTCATATTTCAGGAATTTTACCCTGATTTTGTCTTTGAACCCTGATTTTCAGGGTATTTTTAGGTCCCAACCCTGATGAGAAAGTTTTCTTATTCATGCCTACACTGTTTTTTCAGCTAACTTTCTTGTACCAGGCCTGAAATGTCAGCCTACTTTTGCTAGGGGACCCTGATTCGAATCATACAGTAGTGGGGCCAACCTTGTTAGCGAAATTGCCTAGATTCGATGAATCTGGCAAAAAAATCGCCCAAAATTTTCGCCGTCACCGTCAATCACGTGAAACGGCATCTTAGGGCTGTTTCCTACACCCCCCTTATCTTTATCTTGTCAGACTCGCCTCAGACACCATTTGTTTGGTTTAAACCGACTCTTCATTTCACTTTTTGTTGATTGGCGAAGTGCAAGACAGAATGCGTGGGGTGACGTGGCACTGCGCAACGCTCCCGAATGGTTGTTGAGGAACATTCCCGACTGTTGCTTGCGAGCGCTTGTCTGATTTTGTCTCGTATGTTTGAACGTGACAAAACAGAGACCTTTAGCACACGCGATTGCCTAACCTGGACCACCATTGGTGCACCACCACTGTCTCCCTCCCCCCGTTCCCATCACATTATGATGAAGGCTGGTTACATCAGCGTTAAAAAATGTACCAGCCCTGATAAGAAAGTTTTTTTTTATGTGACAACACTGATTTTTCAGGGTTTATTTTTGTAACGACCCTGACAGAAAGTTTTTTTTTTTGGACCAACACTGATGAGAAAGTGTGGCCCAAAACGAATCTGAGGGCCTGGTCGACTTCCATTAGACCAGAGCACTGCCATTAGACCAGTGCAGAGCATTGGGATGAGTTTTATTGCATTGTCTATACCATAGTACGTTACTTCAAATTGTTTTCCAATAAGAGTGCCTTTATACCGTACCACTTCCGGATTGTGAAATTACCAACCCAGCGTCAGCAAGTGAAGTTAGCGACCTCAGTAAGGCGAGGTTGTGAGACCTTGGTAACCCCTTGTGAGAAAGGTTTTGAGGAGCTGTGAAGGAAGGACTGAAACACACACACACATCCTGCAACCACAATCAGCCACCTGATTTTAATGATGATATGAAATACGACCAGCCTCAGCAGCAACTGAAGTTATGCGACCTCAGTGAGGCGAGGCGACCCAAGCAGGTGCCACAGCACGCATATCACCACGAGCAGACACACGAACCCAACGGCGATGCGCCAAGCTCCTGGCAGCTGCCACTGGCAGGAGAAAACAGAAAGGCAGCCAAGACATGGGTTGGCTGATGCGTGAGATGAGATGAGACGACTTGAAAGGCAAACATGATAAGCGACCACTCCAAGCAATTGAGTATACAATCTGGGAAACCCACCTCCACAGTTAAGGCTGTTGACCTTGCACAACTAAGACTTGGCCACTCACCACGCTGCTGGCCTTGGATTTGCACGTGAGCTTATGGAAGGGCCAGTGCGCCTTTTGGCACTCCCTGCTGCAGTAAGCCACCTTGCCACACCCACTGCAACTCCGCAGCTTCACACCACCGCCCTCCACTATTTCACACCCCAGAGCACCACACACAGCCCCTCCCAAACGAGCAGAACTACAGTCTTTTGCGCTGGTTTTTCTCTGACGAACGGAGCCTTCAGGAGCTGATTTACCAGCAACTGTGCTGTTCAGCAGTGTTCCTGTGCTTCCAGCAGCCGGGGTGGATGTAGCAGCAGGGGAGGCAGGGCGGTAGCAGGGCTCCCCCAGCAGCATCTCTCGCAGACATGCCACCAGATTCACTCCCCCCGGCCATGGCTTCAGATAAGCCACCTCCTCCTCTTTCTTGCCCTTCCCCTTACTACCACTCCAACCCCACCAACTACCCCCACTGCTACTGCTGTTCCCGCTGCTGCTCCAGCTACTACCACCGCCAGCCCCTCCCCACTTCTCCTGATCCTCTTGATACCGCATCTCCACAGCCTTCTCCCACATCTTGGGACCCCATCTCGTCTCTCCCTCACCCAGGTGCTTGCTCCCCTCACAAGGGTTCCCTAGCCCCGCCCCCACCAGCCTCAGGCTCGCCGGCCATGCCACCATTGCTGCCAGGCACCACGACCGCACCTCTTCCCACACCTCCCCAAACTCACCCACCAACTCCCCACCACCATCTCTCTGTCCTCCCCTCCTCCCGCTCTTCTCTCCTCTCTTCCCTGTGGCCTTCCTCCCCCTTCCGCACCCCTCTCCACTCTCCTCTCCGCTCTCCTCATCCCTCCCCACCCCCTTCAACTCCTCTATCTGCAGCACAGCTTTCGGCCATCTGAGTTCCACAAGCAGCAGGAAGAACACCGGTAGCTGCTCGGCTCGCTCCCTCACCACATGCAGGTTCAGCAGCGCAGGCACGTCCGTGGGAAGGGGCTCCATACGCAGACTAGCCAGGAGGTCGTTGAACTCAGGGGAGTGCGGGGGAAAGACCGATACAAAGCGGTTGAAAAGGGCGCTGGCCGGTTGATAGGCAAAGGTGGCGATAAGAGTAAGGGCTGGGAGGTAGTAGGTGAAGGTGGTGATGTACTTGGAGCAGTGGGAGCAGGATGGTGGCAGCACCATATACCCGGCAAACTCCACTAGAAACTCGGCATCTGCACTGCAGCGCACGATGGGAATTTTCTTGTTTTGAGGAGCCACTGAAGCTGCCAGCGCCTCTGCGAAGCTCGGTGAGTCGTCTCCGTGTGCTGTGTCCCTCCCCACCCCACTTCCACTACCCCAGTCAACCCCTCGGTCAACCCCTCGGCTACCACCCCCCCTGCCACCCCTCCTGCCACCCCCCCTGCCTCCTCGCCCCCGCATGGCCCTTGCTGTCCCTCCCTGCCTTCCTCCTGGATTCGCCTGCTTAGATGGCTTCCCCCCAACCTCCTCTCTCGATCCGCTCTCCTTCACTATCCCCAGCCGAAAGCTTCTCTCACTCGGGTCATTGGGAAGCTTCCCAGCAGCTTCATCGCCCCGAGGCCACTCCTCCCACTCCAAGGGAATGCTGCTTTGGTCCAGAGGCTTGGGGATGGCGCCGAGCCTGACCAGCAGGCTCGGAAGGTCCCGAAGCGGGTGGCGCATGGGCCGGACCTTCCCCTGTGTGTTCTTTTTGAAGCACTGTTTACCCGGGATGAAATCAGAGCCGTAGATCCTAACCCACCGCAAGATGCAAGCGGCTCGATATGTGAAAGCAGCAACCACAGGGTTTGTATTGACAGGTGTAGCTGCTGCACCGGCTTTGGTTGCTACATTCGGTGTGGCTGCTGCAGCTGTAGCATTTGTGCCAGCGTTAGCGGTTTTATCACCTGTGGCAGCTGTAGCGGTTGTATCAGCTGTAGCAGTTGTAGTTGTTTTAACAGCTGAATCAGCTGTAGCAGCTGCCACTCCTCCTCCTTCCCCCCCCACTCCCCCTTCCCCCTCGCCCCTCACTCTTGCCACCCTGTCTCTACCCCCTCTACCCCCCACCTCCTGTCTCAGCCTCTTTCTGGCCTTCTCAATAGCTGCATCCTCTATCCGAGTCTTGTTTGCATTGTTCCCATCCAAAAAAAAACTTGCCCTTCCTTGCGGCACTCTGGCTTGGAGAACACTGAGGCGACTGCAAGGGCGAAGTCAGTGGCACCCACGCCACTCACATACATGCCCTTGGGAGTATCCACGCCTTCGGTGTTGCTGCCCCCTGCATCACTGCTGCTGCTGTTGCTGTCCCTGCAGCTGCTGCTGCTACCACTGCAATCGCTGCTGCTGCTGGTGCTTCTTTCACTGCAGTGGCTGCACCTAAACTCACTCCCGTTCCCGCTTCCCTTCTCCACATTCCAAGCCATGCCATCCACATACCTCTCCCACACACGCCCCTTCAGATGCTCCCTCCACTTCTCACCCTTCCCATCCCTGCCACCCTCACCATCTCTCCCTTCCGCCCCCTCACCCACCATCCCCTCACCACCGCCCCCCCATTCCCCTCCACTCCCACCATCCTCAGCCTCATCCCCCCCACCCATCCGCTCCATCATCCCATCTCCCTGATTCCTCTCACCCCTCCTCCCACCGCCCCCACCATCCACGGCACTCGTTCAGCTATCCATGGCCGCTCCTCTGTCCAGGTTTAACATGCCTGTCACCTCTTCGCGTCTCGCCCCTCCCCACGCACTGCCCATCATCCCATATAATTCCTCCTCCATGCCCCTTCCGCTGCCCCTATCTCCCCCCATGCGCCTTCCGCTGCCCCTGTCTCCCCCCATGCGCCTTCCGCTGCCCCTGTCTCCCCCCATGCGCCTTCTGCTGCCTGTTCCCCCCCCCATGCCCCTTCTGCTGCCCTCGTCTCGCCCCATGCCCATTCCAGCCACAGATCCCTCCCCCATGCCGCTTCTGCCCTCCACCACTCTCGTCATGGCTTCAGCCATGAGTCGGATCCCCCGCTCCCAAGACTCTTCAGGGCTCCCCAGCTGCGGAAACATCACGACCTCTCTAGCAACCCTACCGTCTTCCATCCTCCCTATATCCGCAGCAGGCCCCATTTGTCCCATACCCCTGCCTCTTGCATCCTGCCCTCCTGCTCTCCCTTTTCCTCTCCTTTTCTCCTCTCCATGCGCCTTCTCCAGCCCGCCTGACAGCACATGCTGCACAAAGAACCCAAACCCTTCCTGCAGATCAACAGTCTCCTTCACCCCCAGCACCTGCACCAGCACGGATGCGAAAGAGTCGTCCTCCTGCTGCCTGCCCGCCCTTAGCTCAGCCACAAGGGCTGGAAAAAACGCATCGTGCGAGTCCATGTGAGCCCTCCATATAGTCACGAACCGGGGTCATCTTGCTACAAGCGCGAGGAAGGCAGCGAAGCTGACAGCACGGCGGTAGGAAGCCCAGCAGCTGCTGCAGCGCCAGCAGCAGGACCACGCAACAGCAGGAGCAGCAGCAGCAGCAGAAGCAGAAGAAGTGGAGGCCTCGTTAGTAGCATCTCCGGCTCCCAGGATAGAAGGCAGGCGGGATCTGATCCTCCCCAGGTCCATTAGCACACCCACACGAGGCTCAGCCATCCACTCGAGCAGCATCGCCTCCGCACAAACAAACGGCGCCCTCTCGCACTTCCAATGAAACTGAATGTTAGCCGGCGCGCCCCCTCTCCCACCCAGCGCCTCTATCGGTATCTGCGACGTGAACTCGCGAATGGCCCGGGATTGCCGGTTCGGCGCCGCCGCAGGGACGGAGGGAGGCAACTGGGTGTGCAGGTGGAATCGGAAATCTTCGAGGGACATCATGTTGAGCGCCCGCTGCGCTCGGTAGCTCACGGCGCGGTCGAAGCAGCACTCGCATTGCTCTAAATCCCAGCCGTCTCGCACGTCGAGATAGTGAACCATGTCCGCTCGACACAGCAGCTGAAGCTTCCCCAATGCTTCCTCATTTCCCCCTTTTTCAGCGGATTCCCCTCCATTCTTCCGCGTCGCTTGGCCCTCCTCAGTTGGTTCCTCCCCTTTCGTCCCTTCCCCAGCTGGTTGCTCGTCTTGGGTGTCCCATGTCTTCAGCCACTTCTTGACGTCTTCTGAGATCGGTTTATTCCACCATGCTTCCCTCAAGGCCGCCTCCCTCGCCGCTTCAGAGGCGAACGTTGGAAACGCGGAATGCCGGCGACGCATTTGTGATGCTTTTCCGCCCTGATAAAAATGAAAAGGCACCGCGTTGAATTTCTGAAGCGCATGCAAAACGCCTGATTTGGTAGTAGCTGTCGCGAATCAGTCGCGCTGAAAGAGCGTCGGAAGGACGCACATTAAATCCTGAAAATCTGTGAGCCTAGATGACAACGCCAGCTCTATTGACACAGAGAAGCCCCACTGAATCATGGCTGACACAGAGCGCCTGAGGCAGACACACCATTGACGCTACGGGAAATCCAGCGCAACGAGGGAATGGTGGAAATTCAATCAGAAAGCTGGGACTGAGGAGAAGAAGCAACACGAAGGTTCCAATGTGAGGTTTGTTCGGCAACAAGGGGCTCTGATTGGGTACCTGGTTTCGGCTCGGCTGGTATGGCTAGGTATGTTTTGCTTTGGGTTAGCTTCGGGGAGTCCCTGGGGAGGTTTGGTTGGTTTTGGTGCGAATCCCAGGTTTTGCCGGAAATGGCCTGACAAGCTTAGGGGCTTGGCAGCTTCTGATAGGTCAACGAACTCCAGCAGGTGCAGACAACCTCCTCGACGAATCGATTCGTGCACAAGTAACTTGCGAAAACGAAACTTCTTACCTGACTTGTTTGGGTCTTGCAGCGACCTGCTGTCTTGTGTGGCTCGTCGGTATTCCTTGGTCTGACCGACCAGTCAGGTTCGGACCAGATTTTTTTCCCTCGTATGAACATTAGGGCGTGGCACCATTTTTCCAAACGCTAGCACCGACGTTTTGCGACGTCGTATGGAAGTAATGCGACGTGTACGACGTCGCATGAATTTTGACGAAAGTACTCACAGCTCTGATGCTCTTGTTACCAGCGCACAGTCCGAACTGTGGCAAAATGGTGCCTCTCTTAGTGTCATCGAATGGTCGAAAGTCTCATCAGGAATACGGCTTCCCTTCGGCGGGCCGAGCTAATTCGGACTCGCGCTAGCGGATCACTTTGGTCATAAAATGCCACTGATCAGTTCAGTGTTGGAGCTTACAATCAAAATAAGGTAGAGAGGAAACAGTCGGTGAAGTGTCGTGACGACAGCACCCATTTTCAACTTGCCTTTATTATCGACCACCTCTGACTAGCAGCCGTCATCGGCAAGGCAGGGTACCGCATGCGATATCAACTCGAGGCGTTTGGTCTCTCCAGGGACTTGCCTCGCGCTCCTCCACTCATTCTCACTCACCACGTTGACGCGGCCCGGGTACCGACTTTTCCAAGAGAACAACCTATTAGGAGTGCGGGTTTTAGATTGCACGAAGTTAAATTACAGTCAAATCTACTGAAACCACGTGTCGGCCCTTCCTCCGTGTCGCTCGCCGCACCCAGGCAGCGGTCGGTCGCGCGCCACGTGTCGAGATCTGTAGCCTATCCGAAGTTGCGGGTGCGCCACGTGGCTCGTTCCGCGCGGCAGGTGCTAGTGCTACCGGCGATGGCGGCGCGAGAGGTGACGGTGGTGTTCGGTGAGGAGCGGTTCAACATGGAAGTGGAGGTCGATATGGGCGTGGAGGTGAGGCGACGGGGGGTGTGGGAAGGAGGGACGGCGGAAATAGGGACGGCGGAAATAGGGACGGCGAGAGTAGGGAGGGGGGAGTAGGGACGGACAGCGAAAGCAGGGACCGGGTGCGTAGGGATGCGGAAGTAGGGACGGGGGGAGTAGGGATGCGGAAGTAGGGACGGGGGGAGTAGGGACGGCGGGAGCAATGGATCGGGGATGGGGGAATGAGGGAGATTCAGAGATGGGGGAATAGGAATGCAGGGGATGGAGAGCAAGCGCCTCAGGCACAGGGACAGGGACACAGGGAGCAAGCCCCATCCGCCACCACATATGGCGGATGGAGGGGGTGGTTACAGGGACACAGGCGAGAGAGGGCTGGAGACGCGCTTTCCTGAGGGATGAGACAAGAGAGAACGAGTCTAGTCTTGAGGCGCCTCAAAGGAAGATACAACAGAGGGTGGGCAGGTGGGTGGGAACAGCACCACACCGCACCGCATAGCACAGAACGTTAGCAACGGAAGCTGCAGCGGCTTCCTCCAGCTGGTGAAGGGGAACAAGCCAAACCCCGAACCGACCCAAACCGACCCGAACCAAACCAAACCGACCCTAACCGACCCAACCCGACTCAACTTGACCTGACCCGATTTGGATAGTTTCTGAGGCGCCTCAGAAGTCGATAGTAGCTAGGGGTATGCATTAGCTGTACTGTACGGTGTATGCACCTGTGATGTAAGGACGGCAACTCGCGGGAGAGGTGGATATGTACAGACCCATTCGCCAGCTGTTATCATGCATTCCAACTCGCTTATCCTCACTCCCTCTGATTTTGAGACGCTGTAAGAATTCGCGAAGCTAGCGTATTCTCACTCCCACTGATTTGGACCTACCTAACGCGGGTGCCGACCCACCCATGCCTGTTGTGAATCATGCCATTTCCCCCCCTCCCACCCACTCCCCCCCCACTCCCCTCAACGCGCCTCCCACTCCCCTTCCTCCCAAACCTTCCCTGGGGGTCCGTCCATTCAAGCGCAGGTACTCCAGATTCAGATCTTCTCGCTCACAGGAGTCGAGCCTGAGAACCAATCGGTACGTCTGACAGGCATGCCATCAAGACGGCTGTGGTCTTTGAGGGCCTGATTGGATTCCTGACACGTTAAAAAAATGAACCGCAGAACCAACCTATACGTGCATGTGCATCAGGCACCGAGTCCGCTGGGCTTTCTTAGGGCATGGTTGGAATTTGTCCTGGTTGCATCAGGCACCGAATCTGTCAAGCTCTCAAGGCTCCTCAAAACCCCGCCGTGACTCCAAACAGTCTGATTCTGCTTGATCGGCAGTCCTGATTGAACTCAGACATGAGCTCTTGCCGTGACATGACACAGTGGCACAGTCATGCGTCCCTTGCCCCGTTTTGTTCCGGTTTTTTTCTTCTTCTTTTTCTATTCAGTGGTCACCTCTATCCATTCTTATCACCTTTCCCCTGGTGTCCTTGCAGCTCTCCCTGTCGTCCAGCCCGACCCGTGACCTCTTCTCAAAATGCCAGTTTGTTCATAAGGCACTTCAATAACAGATTCATTCCTTCTTATTGCCCTTTTCCCGTTTGCCCGTGCAGCTCTCCCTGTCCTCCGACCCATCCCTTGACCTCTCCTCGCCGCATGCTGATTTGGATTCCCTCCTGCCGGCCACTGGTGCAGTGCTGCTGCTGCACGATCAGGGGAGGCCGGGGGCAGAGGGGGAGAAGGGGACAGAGGGGGCGGAGGGAGAGAAGGGGCCGACGGTGGAGGAAGGGAAGGAGGGTGGTAAGGGGGAGAGCAGCAGAGAGGATGATGCGGAGCTTGCAAGGCGACTGCAGGTATGTGGCGTGTGTGGATGTATGGAGGGGGTGGTGAGAGCGGAGGGAGTGAAAGGGGGGAGTGGGCAGGGGTAGAGGAGGGTGGTAAGAGGGAGAGCAGCAGAGAGGATGATGAGGAAATCGCAAGGCGACTGCAGGCATGTGGCGTGTGTGGATGCTCTTTTGTTTCAGCACTCCTGCATGCCCTGCCCTGTTGGCCTTTTTCCAATGCATACATGTTCATGCGTTCATGGTTCTCTGTCTGTGCATCTGAACACGACACACGTCTTCTTCAGTACGTTGTGCACACAAGCTGATATCACCAGTTCACGTCACTGCATCCGATGCGCTGTAGTGAGGTGTGTTGATGCGCTGTAGTGAGGTGTGTTGATGCGCTGTAGTGAGGTGTGTTGATGCGCTGTAGTGAGGTGTGTTCATGCGCCGTAGTGAGGTGTGTTGATGCGCTGTAGTGAGGTGTGTTGATGCGCTGTAGTGAGGTGTGTTGATGCGCTGTAGTGAGGTGTGTTGATGCGCTGTAGTGAGGTGTGTTGATGCGCTGTAGTGAGGTGTGTTCATGCGCTGTAGTGAGGTGTGTTGATGCGCTGTAGTGAGGTGTGTTGTTGCGCTGTAGTGAGGTGTGTTCATGCGCTGTAGTGAGGTGTGTTCATGCGCTGTAGTGAGGTGTGTTGATGCGCTGTAGTGAGGTGTGCTGATGCGCTGTAGTGAGGTGTGTTGATGCGCTGTAGTGAGGTGTGTTCATGCGCCGTAGTGAGGTGTGTTCATGCGCTGTAGTGAGGTGTGTTCATGCGCTGTAGTGAGGTGTGTTGATGCGCTGTAGTGAGGTGTGTTCATGCGCTGTAGTGAGGTGTGTTCATGCGCTGTAGTGAGGTGTGTTGATGCGCTGTAGTGAGGTGTGTTGATGCGCTGTAGTGAGGTGTGTTCATGCGCTGTAGTGAGGTGTGTTGATGCGCTGTAGTGAGGTGTGTTGATGCACTGTAGTGAGGTGTGTTCATGCGCTGTAGTGAGGTGTGTTCATGCGCTGTAGTGAGGTGTGTTCATGCGCTGTAGTGAGGTGTGTTGATGCGCTGTAGTGAGGTGTGTTGATGCGCTGTAGTGAGGTGTGTTCATGCGCTGTAGTGAGGTGTGTTCATGCGCTGTAGTGAGGTGTGTTCATGCGCTGTAGTGAGGTGTGTTCATGTGCTGTAGTGAGGTGTGTTGATGCGCTGTAGTGAGGTGTGTTCATGCGCTGTAGTGAGGTGTGTTCATGCGCTGTAGTGAGGTGTGTTGATGCGCTGTAGTGAGGTGTGTTGATGCGCTGTAGTGAGGTGTGTTCATGCGCTGTAGTGAGGTGTGTTCATGCGCTGTAGTGAGGTGTGTTGATGCGCTGTAGTGAGGTGTGTTGATGCGCTGTAGTGAGGTGTGTTGATGCGCTGTAGTGAGGTGTGTTGATGCGCTGTAGTGAGGTGTGTTGATGCGCTGTACTGAGGTGTGTTGATGCGCTGTAGTGAGGTGTGTTCATGCGCTGTAGTGAGGTGTGTTGATGCGCTGTAGTGAGGTGTGTTGATGCGCTGTAGTGAGGTGTGTTCATGCGCTGTAGTGAGGTGTGTTCATGCGCTGTAGTGAGGTGTGTTGATGCGCTGTGGTGAGGTGTGCTGATGCGCTGTAGTGAGGTGTGTTGATGCGCTGTAGTGAGGTGTGTTCATGCGCCGTAGTGAGGTGAGTTCATGCGCTGTAGTGAGGTGTGTTGATGCGCTGTAGTGAGGTGTGTTGATGCGCTGTAGTGAGGTGTGTTGATGCGCTGTAGTGAGGTGTGTTGATGCGCTGTAGTGAGGTGTGTTGATGCGCTGTTGTGAGGTGTGTTCATGCGCTGTAGTGAGGTCTGTTGATGCGCTGTAGTGAGGTGTGTTCATGTGCTGTAGTGAGGTGTGTTCATGCGCTGTAGTGAGGTGTGTTGATGCGCTGTAGTGAGGTGTGTTGATGCGCTGTAGTGAGGTGTGTTGATGCGCTGTAGTGAGGTGTGTTGATCCGCTGTAGTGAGGTGTGTTGATGCGCTGTTGTGAGGTGTGTTCATGCGCTGTAGTGAGGTCTGTTGATGCGCTGTAGTGAGGTGTGTTCATGCGCTGTAGTGAGGTGTGTTCATGCGCTGTAGTGAGGTGTGTTCATGCGCTGTAGTGAGGTGTGTTGATGCGCTGTAGTGAGGTGTGTTGATGCGCTGTAGTGAGGTGTGTTCATGCGCTGTAGTGAGGTGTGTTCATGCGCTGTAGTGAGGTGTGTTGATGCGCTGTAGTGAGGTGTGTTGATGCGCTGTAGTGAGGTGTGTTGATGCGCTTTAGTGAGGTGTGTTGATGCGCTGTAGTGAGGTGTGTTGATGCGCTGTAGTGAGGTGTGTTGATGCGCTGTTGTGAGGTGTGTTCATGCGCTGTAGTGAGGTCTGTTGATGCGCTGTAGTGAGGTGTGTTCATGCGCTGTAGTGAGGTGTGTTGATGCGCTGTAGTGAGGTGTGTTGATGCGCTGTAGTGAGGTGTGTTCATGCGCTGTAGTGAGGTGTGTTCATGCGCTGTAGTGAGGTGTGTTCATGCGCTGTAGTGAGGTGTGTTGATGCGCTGTAGTGAGGTGTGTTGATGCGCTGTAGTGAGGTGTGTTCATGCGCTGTAGTGAGGTGTGTTCATGCGCTGTAGTGAGGTGTGTTGATGCGCTGTAGTGAGGTGTGTTGATGCGCTGTAGTGAGGTGTGTTGATGCGCTGTAGTGAGGTGTGTTGATGCGCTGTAGTGAGGTGTGTTGATGCGCTGTAGTGAGGTCTGTTGATGCGCTGTAGTGAGGTGTGTTGATGCGCTGTAGTGAGGTGTGTTGATGCGCTGTAGTGAGGTGTGTTGATGCGCTGTAGTGAGGTGTGTTGATGCGCTGTAGTGAGGTGTGTTGATGCGCTGTAGTGAGGTGTGTTCATGCGCTGTAGTGAGGTGTGTTCATGCGCTGTAGTGAGGTGTGTTGATGCGCTGTAGTGAGGTGTGTTGATGCGCTGTAGTGAGGTGTGTTGATGCGCTGTAGTGAGGTGTGTTGATGCGCTGTAGTGAGGTGTGTTCATGCGCTGTAGTGAGGTGTGTTCATGCGCTGTAGTGAGGTGTGTTCATGCGCTGTAGTGAGGTGTGTTGATGCGCTGTAGTGAGGTGTGTTCATGCGCTGTAGTGAGGTGTGTTGATGCGCTGTAGTGAGGTGTGTTGATGCGCTGCGCTGTAGTGAGGTGTGTTCATGCGCTGTAGTGAGGTGTGTTGATGCGCTGTAGTGAGGTGTGTTGATGCGCTGTAGTGAGGTGTGTTCATGCGCTGTAGTGAGGTGTGTTCATGCGCTGTAGTGAGGTGTGTTCATGCGCTGTAGTGAGGTGTGTTGATGCGCTGTAGTGAGGTGTGTTGATGCGCTGTAGTGAGGTGTGTTCATGCGCTGTAGTGAGGTGTGTTCATGCGCTGTAGTGAGGTGTGTTGATGCGCTGTAGTGAGGTGTGTTGATGCGCTGTAGTGAGGTGTGTTGATGCGCTGTAGTGAGGTGTGTTCATGCGCTGTAGTGAGGTGTGTTCATGCGCTGTAGTGAGGTGTGTTGATGCGCTGTTGTGAGGTGTGTTCATGCGCTGTAGTGAGGTCTGTTGATGCGCTGTAGTGAGGTGTGTTCATGTGCTGTAGTGAGGTGTGTTCATGCGCTGTAGTGAGGTGTGTTGATGCGCTGTAGTGAGGTGTGTTGATGCGCTGTAGTGAGGTGTGTTGATGCGCTGTAGTGAGGTGTGTTGATGCGCTGTACTGAGGTGTGTTGATGCGCTGTAGTGAGGTGTGTTCATGCGCTGTAGTGAGGTGTGTTGATGCGCTGTAGTGAGGTGTGTTGATGCGCTGTAGTGAGGTGTGTTCATGCGCTGTAGTGAGGTGTGTTCATGCGCTGTAGTGAGGTGTGTTGATGCGCTGTAGTGAGGTGTGTTGATGCGCTGTAGTGAGGTGTGTTCATGCGCTGTAGTGAGGTGTGTTCATGCGCTGTAGTGAGGTGTGTTGATGCGCTGTAGTGAGGTGTGTTGATGCGCTGTAGTGAGGTGTGTTGATGCGCTTTAGTGAGGTGTGTTGATGCGCTGTAGTGAGGTGTGTTGATGCGCTGTAGTGAGGTGTGTTGATGCGCTGTTGTGAGGTGTGTTCATGCGCTGTAGTGAGGTCTGTTGATGCGCTGTAGTGAGGTGTGTTCATGCGCTGTAGTGAGGTGTGTTGATGCGCTGTAGTGAGGTGTGTTGATGCGCTGTAGTGAGGTGTGTTCATGCGCTGTAGTGAGGTGTGTTCATGCGCTGTAGTGAGGTGTGTTCATGCGCTGTAGTGAGGTGTGTTGATGCGCTGTAGTGAGGTGTGTTGATGCGCTGTAGTGAGGTGTGTTCATGCGCTGTAGTGAGGTGTGTTCATGCGCTGTAGTGAGGTGTGTTGATGCGCTGTAGTGAGGTGTGTTGATGCGCTGTAGTGAGGTGTGTTGATGCGCTGTAGTGAGGTGTGTTGATGCGCTGTAGTGAGGTGTGTTGATGCGCTGTAGTGAGGTCTGTTGATGCGCTGTAGTGAGGTGTGTTGATGCGCTGTAGTGAGGTGTGTTGATGCGCTGTAGTGAGGTGTGTTGATGCGCTGTAGTGAGGTGTGTTGATGCGCTGTAGTGAGGTGTGTTGATGCGCTGTAGTGAGGTGTGTTCATGCGCTGTAGTGAGGTGTGTTCATGCGCTGTAGTGAGGTGTGTTGATGCGCTGTAGTGAGGTGTGTTGATGCGCTGTAGTGAGGTGTGTTGATGCGCTGTAGTGAGGTGTGTTGATGCGCTGTAGTGAGGTGTGTTCATGCGCTGTAGTGAGGTGTGTTCATGCGCTGTAGTGAGGTGTGTTCATGCGCTGTAGTGAGGTGTGTTGATGCGCTGTAGTGAGGTGTGTTCATGCGCTGTAGTGAGGTGTGTTGATGCGCTGTAGTGAGGTGTGTTGATGCGCTGCGCTGTAGTGAGGTGTGTTCATGCGCTGTAGTGAGGTGTGTTGATGCGCTGTAGTGAGGTGTGTTGATGCGCTGTAGTGAGGTGTGTTCATGCGCTGTAGTGAGGTGTGTTCATGCGCTGTAGTGAGGTGTGTTCATGCGCTGTAGTGAGGTGTGTTGATGCGCTGTAGTGAGGTGTGTTGATGCGCTGTAGTGAGGTGTGTTCATGCGCTGTAGTGAGGTGTGTTCATGCGCTGTAGTGAGGTGTGTTGATGCGCTGTAGTGAGGTGTGTTCATGCGCTGTAGTGAGGTGTGTTGATGCGCTGTAGTGAGGTGTGTTCATGCGCTGTAGTGAGGTGTGTTGATGCGCTGTAGTGAGGTGTGTTGATGCGCTGTAGTGAGGTGTGTTGATGCGCTGTAGTGAGGTGTGTTCATGCGCTGTAGTGAGGTGTGTTCATGCGCTGTAGTGAGGTCTGTTGATGCGCTGTAGTGAGGTGTGTTGATGCGCTGTAGTGAGGTGTGTTCATGCGCTGTAGTGAGGTGTGTTGATGCGCTGTAGTGAGGTGTGTTCATACGCTGTAGTGAGGTGTGTTGATGCGCTGTAGTGAGGTGTGTTGATGCGCTGTAGTGAGGTGTGTTCATGCGCTGTAGTGAGGTGTGTTCATGCGCTGTAGTGAGGTGTGTTGATGCGCTGTAGTGAGGTGTGTTCATGCGCTGTAGTGAGGTGTGTTCATGCGCCGTAGTGAGGTGTGTTGATGCGCTGTAGTGAGGTGTGTTGATGCGCTGTAGTGAGGTGTGTTGATGCGCTGTAGTGAGGTGTGTTGATGCGCTGTAGTGAGGTGTGTTGATGCGCTGTAGTGAGGTGTGTTCATGCGCTGTAGTGAGGTGTGTTGATGCGCTGTAGTGAGGTGTGTTGATGCGCTGTAGTGAGGTGTGTTGATGCGCTGTAGTGAGGTGTGTTCATGCGCTGTAGTGAGGTGTGTTCATGCGCTGTAGTGAGGTGTGTTGATGCGCTGTTGTGAGGTGTGTTCATGCGCTGTAGTGAGGTCTGTTGATGCGCTGTAGTGAGGTGTGTTCATGCGCTGTAGTGAGGTGTGTTGATGCGCTGTAGTGAGGTGTGTTGATGCGCTGTAGTGAGGTGTGTTCATGCGCTGTCGTGAGGTGTGTTCATGCGCTGTAGTGAGGTGTTCATGCGCTGTAGTGACGTGTGTTTTGAGGCGCCTCAAAACACATGCATCCGATGCGCTGTGCCTCTTCCTCTACCACCCCCCCCCTCCCCCCCTCTCCCCTCTCACGATTTCCCTCTTTTTTGGCACCATCACATGACATGACATGCCATGGTGCGTTATGCGGTAATGTCATGGCATGGCATGTCATGGTGCTTGATACTGTAATGGCATGGCATGGCATGTCAGGAGGAGGCGGATGCAGCATTGGCACAGCAGATACAGCAGTCAGAAGCACATGCCATGCAGGCCATGCTGCAGCAGATGAGGGGGCAGCAGCCGCCACAGCAGCAGCACGGTCAGGCGGCTTTGGAGAGGCGACTGCTGTCGCTGTGGAGCAATGTCATGCAGGTGAGTGTGATGCAGTGCGGTGCGGTGCCATGCGGTGCCATGCAGTGCCATGCGGTTCACCACCTGGTGTTACGTGCGAGACCAGCAAGGGGGGATGGTTGGGGGACATGGTCAGGCGGCGTTGGAGGGGCGACTGCTGTCGCTGTGGAGAAGTGTGATGCAGGTGAGTGTGATGCAGCGCAGTGCAATGGTGCTTGTGTGTGAGACGAGTAAGGGGTGGCTGGTGGGGAGGGTATGGTCAGGCGGCGTTGGAGGGGTGGCTGCTGTCGCTGCCGAGCAATGTCATGCAGGTGAGTGGGGTGCAGTGCGGTGTAATACGGTGCCACATGGTGCAGCGTGTTGTGTGCAAGACGGGCAAGGCAAGGGGGGGTGGGTGGGTGACGTGTCAGCATTGGAGGGGCGACTGCTGTCACAATGGAGCAATGTCATGCAGGTGAGTGGAGTGAAGTGCAATGTGGTGCGGTGCGGTGCACACTGCACGCTATCTTGGGCCGTGATGCCATCAAACACCGACCTCTAATCTCCGTGCGTTTAAAAGCCTCGCTCGGTCTTGTGAATAAGTTGACCCCCTTTCCGTCACCTTTTGTCTTGAGCCCCCCTTGCGTATCTTCATCCCCCTCCCATCCACACTTCACACTCCACATCCCTTCCAGTATGAGGATCCATCACGCCAGGCCAAGGCACGCTCGCTCATTCCCCTACAACAGCTCGAGGAGGCCGCTGCAGTCTCCCTTGCTAAGGTTCGCCAGTCGCTGTTCTCTGCTGTGCCATGCGGCGTGGTGCTGTGCTGTGCTGTGCGGTGCAGTGCTGTGCTGTGCGGTTCGGGTCGGTACTGTGCTGGCGTTCTGTGCAGTGCTGTGCCATGCCATGCCATGCCATGCCATGCCATGCCATGCAGTGCTGTGATGTGATGTGCTGTGGTGTGCTGTGCGGTGTGGTGCTGTACTGTGCGTTGCTCTGCTCTGCTCTGCTCCCTCCTCTGAGTCAACAGCATGCTATCAAGGGTCATGGATGAACGTGCAAGCAGGCTACTCAATATGAAAACTATAGTGCTGCTGCTGCTGCTGCTGCTGCTGCTGCTGCTGCTGCTGCTGCGGCTGCTGCTGCTGTGCCGTGCGGTGTGATGCAATGCGTGGTGCTGTGCTGTGCTCAATCTGTCAACAGCATGCTATCAAGGGTCGTGGATGAACGTGCAAGCAGGCCACACAATATGAAAACTTTAGTGCTACTGCTGGGTGTGAGAAGGTTCCTGGAATGAGGAGGATGAATGGGTTGAAAGCACCCTCTGCCCGTGCGACTGGCACTCCACAGCCTTCAGCACCACAACCTGCCGCACCACAGCCTACCATGGCTTAGTCTTATCCTCTCATCGTCTCTGTCACCTCCCCCTATCACCACCTCTTCCCCACCTCAGCAAGGCCAGTACCAGCCGTCAGAGGGACAGTTTCGTGATGTTGTGTTGAGACAACTGCTGTGGGGCTAGTCGTTGGTCAACTCAAAACACACTTGCTCTTCTGCATCTGCCCCTTCTTCTGCATCTGCCCCTTCTTCTGCATCTGCCCCTTCTTCTGCATCTGCCCCTTCTTCTGCATCTGCCCCTTCCTTCTTCTGCATCTGCCCCTTCTTCTGCATCTGCCCCTTCTTCTGCATCTGCCCCTTCTTCTGCATCTGCCCCTTCTTCTGCATCTGCCCCTTCTTCTGCATCTGCCCCTTCTTCTGCATCTGCCCCTTCTTCTGCATCTGCCCCTTCTTCTGCATCTGCCCCTTCTTCTGCATCTGCCCCTTCTTCTGCATCTGCCCCTTCTTCTGCATCTGCCCCTTCTTCTGCATCTGCACCTTCTTCTGCATCTGCCCCTTCTTCTGCATCTGCCCCTTCTTCTGCATCTGCCCCTTCTTCTGCATCCGCCCCTTCTTCTGCATCTGCCCCTTCTTCTGCATCTGCCCCTTCTTCTGCATCTGCCCCTTCTTCTGCATCTGCCCCTTCTTCTGCATCTGCCCCTTCTTCTGCATCTGCCCCTTCTTCTGCATCCGCCCCTTCTTCTGCCCCTGCCTCCCCTCATCCCCATCGCAGCAAGGCCAGTACCAGCCGTCAGAGGGGGACTTTCGTGACGCGGTGTTGAGGCAGCTGCTGGTCTGGTTCAAGTCCTGGTTCAGGTGATTGTCATGCTGGATTAGATGATTGTCATGTGATTGTCATGCTTTTGAGGCGCCTCAAAAGTCGTCTCAGTTCACCTGGTTCAGGTGATTGTCATGCTTTTGAGGCGCCTCAAAAGTCGTCTCAGTTCACCTGGTTCAGGTGATTGTCATGCTTTTGAGGCGCCTCAAAAGTCGTCTCAGTTCACCTGGTTCAGGTGATTGTCATGCTTTTGAGGCGCCTCAAAAGTCGTCTCAGTTCACCTGGTTCAGGTGATTGTCATGCTTTTGAGGCGCCTCAAAAGTCGTCTCAGTTCACCTGGTTCAGGTGATTGTCATGCTTTTGAGGCGCCTCAAAAGTCGTCTCAGTTCACCTGGTTCAGGTGATTGTCATGCTTTTGAGGCGCCTCAAAAGTCGTCTCAGTTCACCTGGTTCAGGTGATTGTCATGCTTTCAGTTCACCTGGTTCAGGTGATTGTCGTGCTGGATTAGATGTTTCTTTTGTTTTGAGACGTCTCAAAATTAGATGTTTCTTTTGTTGCAGTTTCACCTGACTCAGATCAGAGTAAGTCCATGTGGCAAGCTTGGCGAGGACGCCCTTGGCTTAACCCTCCATCCTCCTCACCCCTCCCCTTCACCATTATTCTATCATTTTACTTTCCACCTCCCTCCTCACTAGCACCCTCACCATAACCTCGACTTTCCTTGTCCTCATCTCCCTTCCTGCCACCCTACAGATGGGTTGACTCCCCTCCATGCCCCAGCTGCCACACCCCCACCTGTGCCTTCCACGGCAACGGCACACCTTCCACTGACGACCTGCAGTGGGGGGGGGAGCGAGTGGAGCTGCACAGGTGAGAGGGGGGGGAGGGAGAAAGGAGGTGGGGAGAATGGTTGGTTTCAGGCATAGATTTGAGTGAGAGTAGTGCTCCTCGCTGCTGCACCCCCACCTGTGCCTTCCATGGCAGCGGCACTCCTTCCACTGATGATCTGCTATGGGGGGGGGAGCGGGTGGAGCTGCACAGGTGAGGGGCGAGGGCAGGGGAGGAGAGGGAGGGAGGGGTGGTTGTGAGGCATAGGCTTGAGTGTTAGGAGTTTATATGCTGCCGCACCCCCACCTGCGCCTTCCACGGCAGCGGCACTCCATCCACAGATGACCTGCAATGGGGGGGTAACCGCGTGGAGCTGCACAGGTGAAAGAAAAGGGGGGTGGGGAAGGGGGAAGGAGAGAGGGGGGTTGTGAGGCATAGGTTTGAGCGTTAGAAGTGTCTCCGCTTCTGCTTCTGCACCTGTGCCTTCCACAGCAACAGCACTCCTTCCACTGATTACCTGCTGATTACCCAACTTCCCCATCGTTCTGTGTGCGTGCGGTGGGGGTGGGTGTGAGTGCGGTGGGGGTGGGTGTGAGTGCGGTGGGGGTGGGTGTGAGTGCGGTGGGGGTGGGTGTGAGTGCGGTGGGGGTGGGTGTGAGTGCGGTGGGGGTGGGTGTGAGTGCGGTGGGGGTGGGTGTGAGTGCGGTGGGGGTGGGTGTGAGTGCGGTGGGGGTGGGTGTGAGTGCGGTGGGGGTGGGTGTGAGTGCCTTTTGAGACGTTCTATTCATCCCTTAACCTGACTTTCTTGCTCCGAGTGTGTGCTTGGTGGGGTTGGGTGTTGATGTCATGTCAGGTGCAAGCAGTGCGGCACGGTGGCTCGCTTCGTGCGGTACAACGACCCGGCCAAGGTACGTCGGAAGGAGGCACAGGGACTGACATGATAGGTGTCGTCTTCACCCCTTCGCCCGCCCCCCCATGACTATGGGGTGTGCCCCTATGTGGGCTGTCAGGTGCAAGCAGTGCGGCATGGTGGTTCGCTTCGTGCGATACAATGACCCTGCCAAGGTAACTGGGAAGGAGGCACAGGGACAGATACAGGGACAGATACAGGGACAGATACAGGTACAGATACAGGGACAGATACAGGGACAGATACAGGGACAGATACAGGGACAGATACAGGGACAGATACAGGGACAGATACAGGTACAGATACAGGGACAGATACAGGGACAGATACAGGGACAGATACAGGGACAGATACAGGGACAGATACAGGGACAGATACAGGGACAGATACAGGGACAGATACAGGTACAGATACAGGTACAGATACATGTACAGATACAGGTACAGATACAGGTACAGATACAGGGACAGATACAGGTACAGATACAGGTACAGATACAGGTACAGATACAGGTACAGATACAGGTACAGATACAGGTACAGTTACAGGGACAGATACAGGGACAGATACAGGTACAGATACAGGTACAGATACAGGTACAGATACAGGTACAGATACAGGTACAGATACAGGTACAGATACAGGTACAGATACAGGTACAGTTACAGGGACAGATACAGGTACAGATACAGGTACAGATACAGGTACAGATACAGGGACAGATACAGGTACAGATACAGGGACAGATACAGGGACAGATACAGGGACAGATACAGGGACAGATACAGGGACAGATACAGGTACAGATACAGGTACAGATACAGGGACAGATACAGGGACAGATACAGGGACAGATACAGGGACAGATACAGGTACAGATACAGGGACAGGGACAGATACAGGGACAGATACAGGGACAGATACAGGTACAGATACAGGTACAGATACAGGTACAGATACAGGTACAGATACAGGTACAGATACAGGTACAGATACAGGTACAGATACAGGTACAGTTACAGGGACAGATACAGGGACAGATACAGGTACAGATACAGGTACAGATACAGGTACAGATACAGGTACAGATACAGGTACAGATACAGGTACAGATACAGGTACAGATACAGGTACAGATACAGGTACAGATACAGGTACAGATACAGGTACAGATACAGGTACAGATACAGGTACAGTTACAGGGACAGATACAGGTACAGATACAGGTACAGTTACAGTTACAGGTACAGTTACAGGGACAGATACAGGTACAGTTACAGGTACAGCAAAGGCACAGGTGTCCACCCATCAACATCAGGTGTTTTCCGAGTTGATAAAAAAAAAGCCCACCTCTGTGCCACGCTTCAAGTGATACAACAAACCTTGCGAGGCAACTCGAAAAGAGGCTCCTCTGTGCTTTTCTCAACTGTAACGATACTCTGTCTGACCTGTCAGCTCCTCTGTCTGACCTGTCAGCTCCTCCATCTGACCTGTCAGCTCCTCCATCTGACATGTCAGCTCCTCCATCTGACCTGTCAGCTCCTCTGTCTGAGCCATCCTCTCTTCATATCGCCGTGGGCAGGGCTGAGCAGACCATACCCCGCCTTCTTCTTCCCTTTGCACAGGACTTGGCCACCAGGGAGGGCCGCTGTGGGCAGGGCTGAGCTGGTTCTGAAGGCACTTCTTGCCTTCTCTCTTCCCCCCCCCTCTCTCTTCTCATCCCTCTCCCACCCACAGCTCCTGGACACCAGGGAGGGCCGCTGTGGCGAGTGGGCCAACGCCTTTACCCTCTGCTGCCGGGCTCTGGGCTATGATGCCAGGCAGGTGTGTGTGATGTGACTATAGTGATGCCAGGCAGGTGTGTGTGATGTGACTATAGCGATGCCAGGGAGGTGTGTGTGGTGTGACTATACTGATGTCAGGTAGGTGAGATTATAGTGATGCCACATAGGTGTGTGTGGTGTGACTGTAGTGATGCCAGGCAGGTGTGACTACAGGGATGTGACTATAGTGAGGCCACCCATGTGTCACTTCTGAAATTTCTAAAATAAAAAAAGCTCGTTGATATTCTGCTGCCGGGCTCTGGGCTATGATGCCAGGCAGGTGTGTGTATGATGTAACTATAGTGATGCCATGCAGGTGTGTGTGATGTGATGTGATGTGATGTGATGTGATGTGATGTGATGTGATGTGATGTAGAGATGCCAGGCAGTTGTCTGTGTGTGTACTGTGGCTGTAGCGGGACTCTGCATGTTTCAGTTTTGAGAATTCTCAAAAGGAACGCGTTCACCCCCTGCTGCCGGGCTCTTGGCTATGATGCCAGGCAGGTGTAAGTGACTATTGCGATGCCAGGCAGGTGTGATTATAGCGATGCTCGGCAGCTGTATGTGTATGACTATAGTGATTACAGGCAGGCGTGTGAAGGTGATGGATAACATGTGAGCGGCTGTGGCTGTGCATGAAGAAGTGTTTTGAGACGTCTCAAAACACTTCTTCATACACGTGGCTGTGGCTGTGCTAGCTGATGCAGTTCTGCTCAATTCAGTCTTGAGATAATGTGTTTGTCTTCATTCAAATTTTGCATGTTTGTTCACATGTGCATGCATGCATGCATCCATGGGTGGGTCGTGGATGGTACAATTGCATGTTTGCAAATCTGGATGCCTGCATGTGCATGTGCATGTGCGTGTGCATGTGATACCCACAGGCAGTGGATTGGACAGACCATGTGTGGACTGAGTGCTACTCACATGCCAAGCAGAGGTGTGTGCGATGGGTTTCAGTGGGGTTTACGGGTGTGACATTGGAGGCAGTCAGTCACATGGCCCACCAGATGCAGTCAAGTCCAGTGAGCTGTTCTTGTCTGTCTGATGGACATGTGACTTTGAGTCGACTCAAAAGTAACTGAGTGAGTGCTACTCGCATGCAAAGCAGAGGTGCATGCAGTGGATTTCAATAGTGGTGGGCAAGGGTGAGCGAGATACGTGGTGTGTATGGCGGCGATGGCGGGCAGTTGACTGGACGTACCATGTGTGGACCATGTGTGGACCATGTGTGGACCATGTGTGGACCATGTGCGGACCATGTGTGGACACTCGAGTGCCACTCGCATGTCAAGCAGAGGTGCGTTCATGGGGTTTGTGGGATGACAGTGGGTGGGGATAAGGGGGGGTGGGTATGCTCGGTGGTTCCAGAGGTCTTCAAAGCGGGTTAGGTGGTCATGGCCCACGGGTGAGTGGGTGGGGATAGGGGTTGGATAGGATCTGCAGTAGGGCCTCCGGGCAGTTCATGCTCCTCTCTCCCCGTCTCCAGTTGACTTTAGAGTCAACTCAAAAGTCACCATGGGTGGGTGGGGATAAGTTTTTTGAGACGTCTCAAAAGTCAAAAGTCACCATGGCTGGGTGGGTGGGGATCAGGGGTGGATATGGTCTGTGGTGGGCCAACGGGCAGTTCATGCTCCTCTCCCTTTCTTCCCCATGCACCCATAAGCATGCATGCTACCCTAGGGGTTTTGTGGCCAAGGCAATTTTGAGACGTCTCAAAACTATGCTCCTCTCCCTTTCTTCCCCATGCACCCGTAAGCATGCATGCTACCCTAGGTTTGAGACGTCTCAAAGCATGCATGCTACGCTAGGTTTGAGACGTCTCAAAGCATGCATGCTACCCTAGGTTTGAGACGTCTCAAAGCATGCATGCTACCCTAGGTTTGAGACGTCTCAAAGCATGCATGCTACCCTAGGTTTGAGACGTCTCAAAGCATGCATGCTACCCTAGGTTTGAGACGTCTCAAAGCATGCATGCTACCCTAGGTTTGAGATGTCTCAAAGCATGCATGCTACCCTAGGTTTGAGACGTCTCAAAGCATGCATGCTACCCTAGGTTTGAGACGTCTCAAAGCATGCATGCTACCCTAGGTTTGAGACGTCTCAAAGCATGCATGCTACCCTAGGTTTGAGACGTCTCAAAGCATGCATGCTACCCTAGGTTTGAGACGTCTCAAAGCATGCATGCTACCCTAGGTTTGAGACGTCTCAAAGCATGCATGCTACCCTAGGGGTTTTGTGGCCAAGGCAATGCATTCCTCCGCCTTCCCTCTCCCGCCTTCCTTCCCACACCCTGCTCCCCCTCCCCCCCACTCCCCCTCCGTACAGGTGGCTGCATCTGGACCCGTGTGAAGCAGCCTTTGACACGCCACTGCTCTACGAGAAAGGGTGGGTGGAGAGTGGTTGCATGGGGGGGTTGGGTGGGGTGGGAATGGCTAGTGCTAGGTGGGGATGGTTTTGTGGAGTGGTTTGCCTCTTGATATGAATTCCTGGGCTAGGCAAGGGTAATCACCATTTGTTATTTTACCGCAGTGCAAGGCGACTGGGCAAAAGCGAGGTAGGGCGACTTCGTTCACATATCCTTTTGTCAAATAAAAAACGTCGCACGAAATGGCTAGTGGATTCGTCACCCCTCGTCCTCTCGCCAGGGTCCGCCTATCATCGTGGAAAAATGAATGTGAGCCCGGGTTATTGTAACGAGTGGTAACTTTCGTGGCTTGCATTGGTCCAGACTGCTGGACCAAAAGAGTCTTCGAGGCTGACCTGGTTCCATCCATAAAGCCATGCGACTCACGCGTTACACAAAACGCGAACCGCACATCACAGTGCATGAACACAAGACGCAAACCTGGTTGACACAGCTCACAGCCAGGAGAGAAAAAACCGTTGGGAACAAAAAGCAGGCTTTGAACCTGACGTGAATCGAACACGCAACCTTCTGATCTGGAGTCAGACGCGCTACCATTGCGCCACAGATCCTTGACATTTGATAAAACAGAAACATTTTGAGAGCTTGACATCCCTGCTTGTAGGTCTGACTGACTAGCTGTCAGCCACTAGTTTATCAAACCATGCCAAGAAGGTAATAGAAAGGGTTGTTTGCACCCATTTGTCGTTTCCAGTCTCAGTGCTGTTTGCAGAGACAGTTTGCTATGGATGCATGCAGCACTGCTGATAGCACCTGCAATCGAATGCAGTGGTGACTCTTTCTGTCGTTTTCTGTGCCTGGGCGAGCAGGTGGGGCAAGAAGCTGACAATAGTATGACCTTCAAGTCGAATCAAAGGGCACCTTGTTGCTATGTGCACTCACTCCCTCTCTTCTCGTTTACTGTGCCTGGGCGAGCAGGTGGGGCAAGAATCTGACGTACGTGTTCGGAGTGGGGAGGGATGGGGTTGCTGACGTCATTCGAAGATACACACTCCAATGGAGCGAGGTAGGTCACTCACGGGTCAGCAAGGAGTTTTGAAGCATCGTTCTCACATCATAACACATGCAATGCAACAGGAGCAACACATGCAACAAGAGGAACAGCACAGTAGTCTCGTGTGCGGGCTATTGCTCTCTCCTTCCTCTGCCACACCCCCTGCCTCCTGTTATCCCTCAACCCACCGCCCAACTCTCATCCCCCAATATCAGCTGCAACACAGCTGCACAAAAGCAACTGAGCTGATTGCTGGGGAGCAGTGGCAGTAGTAGTGGCAGCAGCTATATCAGAAGCAGTGGCAGCAGCTATATCAGAAGCATTGGCAGCAGCTATATCAGAAGCATTGGCAGCAGTGACAGCTGGTTTACAGGAGTGACAACGGCCTCTGAAGCTTTTGCGACTGCATTTAGAGGGCTAGGGCCTTAGAAGCCATTTTGAGGGGCCTCAAAAGTGGCGGCAGTGACCTTACAGAAGTGACAACGACCTCTGGAGCTAGTTGCGACTGGGGGGGAGCAGTGGCAGCAGCTATAGCAGCAGTAGTGGCAGTAGTGGCTGTAGCGGCAGTAGCCGCAGCCGTGGCAGTAGTGGCAGCAGTGGCAGTTGGAAGAGAGAAAGTGGCAGCAGCAGTGGCAGCGGTGACAACAGCAGCTGAAGCAGTGGTCATTGCAGACTAATGCTTGCTTCTTGTCTTCAACCAACCTTTCCCCTCCCACTGTTCCCCCATACGCCCAACCCTTCCCCTCCAAAACAGCTCCAGCAGAGACGGACAGAAGCATCAGATGTGGTGTAGCAGCGGCAGTGGCAGCAGTGACAGCAGTTCTTTCCTCCTTCTCCCCACACCCCTTCCCTTCTCAAACAGCTCCAGCACAGGCGGACGGAAGCATCAGGGGCGGCTGTAGCAGCGGCAGTGGCAGCAGTGACAGCAAGGGCTCGAGCCAGCCTTGGTGTGGATGAGAGGAGGCGGTTGGAGGAGAGGGATGCGAGGGAGAGAGAGGAGCTTAGTGGAGTGAGGGGAGGAGGGAAGGAGGGAGGAGGGGTGGGAGGGGAGAGGGATGGTGTGGTGTTGGGAGGGAGGCAGACCGGTTCTGTGGAGTGGAGAGCAGCGAGGGGGGAACTGGGGTTGGAGAATGGTGAGGGTGATGGGGGGGACAGGGGGAAAGAGGGGGAGGATGGGAGGTTGGAGAGGAGGATGGTGGATGGGCACTTGGGTTCCCTTCTGCTTGCTGTAGGGGACATGTGTCGTGATGTTATTGGCTCTCCAAGTCTTGAAGCAGCATCAGCAGCAGCAGCAGCAGCAGGAGCAGCAGCAGCAGCAGCAGAGCAGAAGTCGCTACGAACATCTTTAGACGCTCTCCTCTCTCTGCTCTCCGTTCTGCGCTCGCTCCCCTTCCGCTCCCGCTCCGTGCCACTCAACAACAAACGATGCGATCCCATTCGCACGATACTCTTGGATGCACTGGCGACATCAACGGTCGGTGCGAGTGGTGGTGCAGTTGCTGCTTCCGGTATTTCAGCTTCTGGTGGTGCTGGTGGCTCATCTGCTGCTGCTGTTGCGGCCACAGATACTGCGAGTGGCAGCGATGGGAGCAGCACCCTTAGTAGCAGCGAACAAGGAAGCAGCAGCAAGCACGGCAATAGCAGCGACACACAAGAGAGTCCAATCTCCTCTGCGGCACCCCTGCTATCCCTCCTGACTGCCATGGGGGTTCAGATCTGGAAGGAGGGAGAGGATGAGGGGAGTGAAGGGGCGGGGTGGACAGTCGGGGTGAAGGAGTGTGAAGCTGAAGGATTAGAGGGGGCCAGTGCAGAGGCGAGGAAAGAAAAGGGGGGAGTAGTGGTGGAGGAAAAAGGGGTGGGTGGGTGGAGGTACGGAAAACGGGCTGTGCTGGCAGCTGTGGCGTTGCAGGCAGCACAGGAGGTGCTGCCACGTGTCAAGCAGGCAGTGGAGAAGATGCGGGGTAGGAGTGGTGGGGATGGAGATGCGGCGTGGCTGCAGGGATTGGTGCAGCATGAGAGGGTGTGTGGTGGCTGGGTGTCAGCTGATGGGGAGAACGCACCCAACGAGATGGTGAGAGGGGTGGTGTGGCTGTAGTGTGACTCAACCCATTGAATGCTCTCACTTTATAGCATGGCTGGCTGGCTGGGTGTCAGCTGATTGGGAGAACGCACCTAATGAGATGGTGAGAGAGGTGGTGTGGTTTGTGGTGTGGTTGGTAGTGGTGGGGATGAAGATGCAGCGTGGCTGCAGGGGTTGGTGCAGCATGGGAGGTGTGTGGCGGCTGGGTGTCAGCTGATGGGGAGAACGCACCCAACGAGATGGTGAGAGGGGTGTCATGTGCTTGTATCACGCTTGAGAATTCTCATAAGTGATGGTGGGATGGGTCTGCTTGTATCAGTTCTGAGAATCTGAAGTCAAGGTGAGATGGGAGTGTGTGGTTGTGGATGGCAGGATGGACTCTGATGGGAATAACGCACCAAATGGGATGGTGAGATGAGTGTGTTTGGCTGTGATGGCAGGATTGACAATGTTTCACTGGGTTGGGGCTCATGGGAGAACACACCCTATCAGATGGGTGTGGCTGAATAGGTTCGTGACCTGCTCAATGACTTTTGAGTCGGCTGACTAGGTTCGTGACCTGCTCAATGAGAAAATAAGATGGGTTGCCGTCGTTGTGCATGCTACCAGGTGCCATGAGCATCTGTCCATCCATCCCTCCATCTGTCTGCCCTCCCTCCCAGGCCGGATCGGCATGCGATGCATCGCTGCACACCAAATGAATGTGATGTTCTGGCATGTTTCCATGTGCATAACCATCATATGCCACACCCATCCATGCATCCCTCCGTCCCTCCATCCCTCTGCTCTGCCCTCCATCTCAGGCCATATCAGCATGCGATGCATCGCTGCACACCAAATGGCTGCACCATGAGGGAGGGAAAGGTATGCTGTTACCAGCTGCCATGCCATACTGTGCCATGCTGTGACGTTACTTTCCATACCATGCCATGCCGTGACGTGCCATTCCACTCACGCCATGCCATTCACGCCATGCCATGATGTGCCGTCCAATGCCATCCAAGCCATTCATGTGCTTCATCAATTGTGAATGCAATCTCGGGCAAAATCCAGCTTGTGGCATCAGACCAAACGTTCTTGTCCTGCTGTGAACGTTCTTATTGTTCTGGTGGCACTTTCTTATCGTTTTGGTGGCACTCCCTTTGGCAGGAGCATGGTTACAGTACCGGCTCAATGGCTCCGCTCCTGTTACAGTCACCATGTATTCAATCACATCGGCGAATGATTGCCCAGAGAGGGACCCCTCCTGCTGGTGAGTCTCACATGAGGTTTTCGATGGTAGTGAAGGACGAAACCATTCGTTTCAATCAACGTCAATATTTTTTTGAACTGCCAGAAATTCATCACTTTATTGAATCACTGTGCAATGCATGATTTTGTGAAAAATACCATTCCACCCATGCACTCCGTACACTGTATCAGGTCACTGCAAGCCAGCAAGGACGGCGGAAAGACTTGGAGCTTTCTGGATACACAGGCTGGTGTGCATTTCAGGAGCAGGCATCAGACTGAAGTTTTTACGATCAGCCCAGCCAAGCAAACCCCAGCAACTCTATTCAGGTACAGATTTGCCTCAGCGACTCTCTTCAGTCAGGCACGAGAACAAAGCTATTCAAGTACCACCAATCTGTTGCACATCTCTCCTGTTTCGCTTTTGCATCTGGACGTATTTGACCCAATCTCAAGCTATATAAGGTAAATCTGCATTTCACAGTCTTTTACATTTGTATGATGGCAAGAATCACTTTGCAACTTGACTGTACAGCCAGTTTAGAATGGCAATTGTAAAACTCGCACGAGGGTTCATGTAAATGATTGCGATTGCCACTATCCCCTTGCTCCCCTTGTTTGTCTCGCAGGCTTGTCATCTCAGCTGTCCGAGACCCATCCTGCAGCTGCCTTCAGCTTGCCTGCTTTGACCTTTACACTGCACGCCAGCAGCCTCTGCAGACAGATAATGCGAAAGCACCCACAAGCACAGGAATTGTGGACGGCAAAAGTCAAGTAATACCAACGTCTTCAGCAATGAGGCCACCATCGCCAGTGGTTACTGCAGCAGCTGCAGCAGCCGCAGCAGCAGCAGCAGCAAGAGAGAGCAATTTGCCGTGGCAGTACGTAAAGAGTTTCAACGGCTGGCGGTGGAAGAGAAGGTTCCTGCAAATGAGGCAGCTGGGCGAGCTCTGAAGCATGTGCAAGAGAGATTGTCCCAGGGGAAACCGTGAGCTCTGAATCAAGACAATACTTTGATGCTGCATTTATAATTGGAAAAGACCAAGCATATTGCAACAGGTCAATATTGATGTCTAGTTTATACATATGATCAAACGCCATCTCTTCAAACCACCTCTATTATCAATTCAGCCTGCCATTAATGGACTGATTACCACTCCCCAACCATGACTGGACAAGTACCCTCGTTAGACAGATTCAACCACCAACAAAAAACCTTCCTGGGTTAACCCCTTCAGCATTCTTTAATGTCGCCACCATGTTCAAAACTTCTGTGTCACTTGTGTGGAATTTCAAACATCCTTGGTGTCCGCATCTTCAGCTTCTCCAGCATTGTTGGTCCTTTGCTGGGACTATCCTTTGGAGATGCATTGGAAGGATGGCCTCCGACTTCAACTTTTGCCAGGCACTCCTTCATAGCTGCAGCCTTTATCTCTGCCTCCTCTTTCTTCCGTTTAGCTTCCTTGACTTCAATGCTTAGCTCTTCACGCAACTTCTTTTCATGGACCAGCTGCTCTTTCAGATTCTTCCGCTCAGCCTGGAGATCTTCTATCGTGCTTTTACAATCTGAATGCTCAAGGATCTGCACAGGTAGAAAGCAAGTTAGGAACATATGGTATCCAAGACTTTGAAGTGACAGCAAGTTTTACCTTCGCAGAAAGATTCTGCAGGGCAGACTGAAGAGAGGCATTCTCAGACCTCAGAACTTCAACATCCGATGTGAACAAGGGCTGCTGCTCGTTCTCTAACTCCTTCGCACCTCCCTCTTGCTCATCAGCTTCACTTGTGGAGCCAGCAGGGGGTTCAGCAGCAGATAATCTGGTGTGGGCAATAGGGTCATTTGAAGCCCGTGATGTCCTGACTGAACTTCCCATCTCAGCTGCAGACATAAGAGTCTTGATCACCTCCTTGGACTCGTCAAGCTGGCGTTCCTGCACCTTCACCAACTCCCTCAGCCTCAGCAGTTCTTCACACTGAGCACCCACTTCAGCCCCCTGGGACAACTTTTCTTCAATCAGTGCAGCACCGTGGCCATCAGCAACCAAGGAATCTGCTTTTCCGTTCTCTTTCTCGCCCTCGCTTTCTGTCTCAGCCCCTTCAGCATCCTTCCTCTGTTGCGGTTTCTCTGTTCTTTCCTCTCCAAACACCATACCAGCATTACCAAGTTTCTTCTCCAGCTCCTTGTTCCTGGCCGACAGTTCACCAAGCTTTGCCTCCAGCTCATGCACCTTGCCCTCTTCCGCCAAAGCCTTAATCTCAGCTCGAGCCCGTTTCTTTGCTTCATCTCCACTTCTAAGCTCTGCCAAAGACCGCTTCTTTCCTTCCTCCTGAAGCTTGGCCTGAAACTCCCTTCGCATTTTTTCCTCCTCCTTTCTCAGCTTCAGTTCTTGGCGATTGAATGCTTCCATCTTGCGGCACCTTTCAGCTTCCTCTTTCAACTTCAGCTCCAGCTCCAGTCGTTTGTTTTCTGACTCCTCAAGCTTCAAGGTCATGCCCTTCAAAACCTCCTGATCAGCCTTCACTTTCACATTGTACTCCTTATGCGTTCTCTCAACTTCATTGAAGGCTGTCTCAAGCTTCTGCCGCTTCGCTTCTTCTTCCTTTGCCTTGACTTCTGCCATGCGTCTCAAATGTGCAGCCTCATGCAGCTGACACTCCACCAGCTCCAGTTTTCGTTGATGCTCAACAGCTTTCTTCTCAGCATTGATCCGAAGAGACCTCTCAGAATCAAGCTGGTTTTCCATCTCTTGTCTCAGCTGTTCCCCTTCACTTGCTGTGTGCATAGCGTCAGCCATTTGCTTTTCGAGAACCCTCTTCCGTGACTCTGCGTCCTTCCGTTTTTTCTCCTCATCCAAGGCTCTCGCTTCGGCCTCCTTCCGCTTGTTGGACTCAGTGACAAACCTCGCCTCAGCTTCAAGTCTCCTCTTTTCTTCAGTTACAGCCTTCTTTTGTGCTTCTTGAAGAGATGATTCGAGCTTTTCAATTCTGCCGGATGCTTCTCGAACAGCAATCTCGTCATAGGCTTTTCCAACAGAATTTTCAGCTCGCTTCATTATCTCCACCTGGTTAATAGTTCCTTGAATAGATGCAGCATTGACCTGAAACAGTAGGCAATGTCATGAGCGACCATGTTCACATGCAACAATGCCTTCAAATCAGAACTGCAACTGTGCAACATACCTGACTTGAGCGCTTTGATCCATAACGATGAAACATCTGGACGACGTCATGCCGCTTATTGGATTCGGCTATTTGCAATGGTGTCTTCCCATCCTGTAGCAAGAGATTTGGTTGATATTGGCTGTACTGGAAATGTCATGGGTTAAGGATCTTACCTTTGTCTTGGCAGTTTTGTCAGCTCCTCTTTGCAGCAATACTTGTGCGAGCTCGACTGTGCCGAATGCTGCTGCGCAGTGCAGCGGGGTAAAGAATTTCTGCATGACACTTGGTCGTTTTAGTAGATAGCGTGAAAGGATGTCTCATGATCACACAAGAAATACCTGACCTGATCCCGTGCATCGTGATTGGCTCCAGATTCCAGCAGCATGATGACTTCCACGATACGTCCAAGCATTGCTCCGAGATGGAGAGGCGTTTGACCTTCCTGTAGTAGGAGTGAGTGAGTATGACTTCGACAACACTGGAAAAATCGCACTTCAACACAACGAATCTGACCTTGTCCTGTGCGTCTTTGTCAACGGAATGGTCCAGCAAACGCTTTACCGCTCCAGTTCCACCTCCCCAAACGGCATGATGCAGAGCAGTCCATTGGCCCTGATACAAGC